ATATATATATATAAATGAGATGTTCCAGATCATCTATGACGTAGAGTGCTCGATATCTCAGATAGAGCTTAATAGAAATAAAACAATAGCAGATGAACTTGGTTACTTCATATCTTTAATCGCTACAAATTTGTAGCAATTAAAGATATGAAGTAACCAAGTTCATCTGCTATTGTTTTATTTCTATTAAGCTCTATCTGAGATATCGAGCACTCTACGTCATAGATGATCTGGAACATCTCATTTATATATATAAGCCGAATAAGGTTTGCATTAACAGACCTGCATCCAACCGTGAAGACACATGAATCCATTATTAGGGGATCACCTATTTTGGAAATATTAAGCCTGCTCTCTCGGTAGAGCAATGAGGAAATAAATTTCTGATTTATTTCCTCTATGTTTAGAGCAATCAATGATAGTCATTTTTTTGTGGGGTGGAGGAGGGAAGGGAAATTTGAAAACTATATCTTTTTTAGCATAGGCCTATTTATCATAATGTCAATAAATCATCGTATTATAAATTAATTATTAAATTAAGATAAATGAATAACTAAAAAGTAATAACATTGTTTCTAGCAGTAGCTCAATTGATAGATGTTAAATCTAAGCCATTGATAATATGGTTAACAATCGTTATTTCCTCCGCAAAGGAGGACGTGTATTCACCGCTGTCTGCTTGTGAGCAAGATTACACAAAAACTAAGGAATGAAGAATCATAAAAAATGCATAATTTAGTGAAAGACAAGTCTTTCTTGAAATACTAGAAAATATTTTGTGTACTAGAAAATATTGTGTGTCCAGAGAGGTTACAAAATTTGATAAGTATATTGCTGTAGATTGAAAATCAGGGCCCCTGTGACCATTTTCCGGGGACTAATGTTTCTCTACTGATTTAGCATCACTAGGGTATAAATACAAAATTGAGCGGTGGAGAATCTGCAGTACATAGGCCTAATATAATATGTTCTTGACTGTGACACCATGATTCGCATATACTTACCCGACTGAGCTTCAGCCTGCCAAAAGAGAACGGCGATGAGCAGTTGAGAACTGACCAAAAGTTTCATTTCTGCTAATTTCCAGCAGTAGGCCTACGAAGGGCAATGCACATTGAAATAGCACTTTACAGTTAAATGCTCTTCTGAACAGTTTCAAAAATAACTTGAAAACATTACTATTTATGGATGTTTTCTCCGGTTATTAATGCACAAAGCGCCATGAGCGCCGATTTGGGTGGAGGACACCGGCGCTATAGAAATTTTCATTTATTATTATTATTACTATTTGTTCATGCAAACCGGTCTTTTCACAACTATTATCTCTACAAGATATGTCTCCCGATGTCACTGAAGCTTTCTATTGATTATCTTACAGATATTTAGTTCCTAATGCTAATTTTGTTTGGGTTTACCCTCCAACAATTATTTATAAAAGGATATGACTAGTATTCATTCAATTCTTGCATTCCATCATGCCAGGGCCCGTACTGATGCGTTTAAATATTCAGGGGTAGTAAGATTTCCGAAAGCTTTTTCTGAACTTGATGCTGCGATTAGAAGTACCGTACTCGCGCGAATAAGTGTCCCGTTTGAATAAACGCCCCAATCAATCCTGGGACTGTGGATGTTGGCATGATTTGAAGTGTGGAGTGGAATCACATTCTCCTGTAGTCAATATCAAAATGAGGATATTTATTTTGGACAGATGAGAGCTCCTTGTGAATACTACATTTTCGTAAATGACAATTGTACATAAATATGTATAATATAATAATTTTAATTTACAATAATATAAGTATATCATTTCTATTAATGAATTTTTAAATTCTATTTTTGAAGAATATACACGATTATAACAATTATATATGTTTTATGTATTTATTTTTTCCCAATTTATTGCTCAGAGATTGGTTTAAGATTGGTTCAGCTCCACCATGGTTGAGGATAAGGTGGGAAAATTTGAGGAAATAGTATCTCTAAATGGCCGGAAATGACACTTTTATATAGTAAAATTCATCATTATCACATCAAGGAGGTATAAAAATAAGTGATCACATCACCATTATATAGTCAAAATGAAGCCCCAACAAATTTCTTATAATCTTTTATCAGGAATCTAATTAATATCCAAGACAACTTAGGCCTAACTATAGCTTACTAAGCTTTAACTATATTATAATAATTGTGATCAACAAATCACAACTCACTTTTTCGCCTTTATCACAATTTTCTTCACTTTTTATATTATTATCTATTATCACCATCGTCATCATCATAATTATTATTATTATCATTACTACTTGTAGTACTGTAGTATTAAAACAAAACTTTAGAGAGCATGCAAAACAATAAAAACCAAACTGAACCATACAATATCACATTTTTATATTAGAAAGACCTGGCTTGGGACTTATGGATTTAAGATTTTTTTTAAAATCACGATTAGTCCTATGTGTTAGTATAGTAGGCATATGTATAACGTGTGCTGATGCATATTTACATAGATTAGAAATAGGGGAGGGGGGGGGGGGAAGCGCCGCGGCTCCCCTGTATACATCCCTGCTTACAATAAAATATGATTGTGACGCTTATAAAACGAACACACTTCACGACTGAGTACTAAGCATTCTTCATTTTCTTTATTTCCGTCAAAAATCAAAACAAACCAAACCAAAACAAGCAAACCCTAAAACAATGAATAAATCAGTTTGTATCAATAACACAGGACCTAAGTATATAAAAGTAACATTAAAATTAATAAGAAATCATTTACTATCATAATGCATACAGTATTACACAGTAAGAGTAATCATAGCATACTAAAGTAATCCGGTAACACTTACATAGGCAATACAAAGAGTAATAACAAACACTAAATGAAAATAATAAATGATCGTCAGTTATACCATATTATAATTTATCTAATCGACACCCTTGCAAACACCGGGCAAGCTGACTAAGTAACCAATGACCAATCAGTGAACGGTATGGTACTGTACGATATTACAATCTGAATAACTGCAATGGCAATACAAAATATTTGCTAACAGTGCACAAAGTAAAATATTAAATGTAATGAATTCATAATTAATAGATCATAAAATGCAATATCTGTATTGGCACACCATACAATGATTCACTTAACAAATTTAATTAGTTAACTCTGATCAAGAACAATAAGACTATAAGTAATAGCAGCATTATTAATTAAAACAATCGTATTCACTCGTCTAACCAATTCAATTGTCATTAAAATACATCTAATTTAAGTATAAACACCACAAGGCACTTTATAAAGCAAGTAATAGACTTTAATCGTGATCGCGGACTCATCGAGCCCGATCGTATAGCAAACATGTTTCGAGAAAACGATTCTCATCATCAGTGCGAAAGATAACAAATTTTGCCAAAGCTTATATGGCCTTATACACATGTATGTAAATAAGCAGATTAGCAAATAAAAAAACGACTAATGAAGCAAACCACAATCACGATTAAAGTCTATTACTTGCTTTATAAAGTGCCTTGTGGTGTTTTTACTTATACGAAATTTTGGTGGCATTATTTATGACGCATCTAATTTACTATCAATATAGGCCTATAACATCTTGCTTTGTTTGTTTATAGTATAGCGCCACCATGAGTTAAAATATAACTATCACGTAATTAGTATGAGTCATCTCATCTACTTCATGGTCAACCTACAGTAGGTGGCCCAACCATGCCTATTATCTTTGTACAGTATCTATAAACTACATAAAAATTGCATTATACACTACATGCATCTCAAAAGTTAAACAACTGATAATTAATATGAACATTTTTGTAATCTGATATGCCAAGTAGTCAGCAAAGTCTTTCACTTAAACCTCTTATAAATATTACCAAGTATAAACTAATATGGTAAACACTAACATATTTTATATAATGAACTTATCAAATCTAAACAATATAAACTCAAAACTACACCCTTTCAGAATGATAAAATTTTAGAGATGTGATTACTGTTCTCCTGCTCCAGTGGAGCTTTCAGCAGTAATGAAACATACTTAAGAAAAACTGTCTGTTACCAAACAAACTTGATTGGGGTATTAATGCACCCTCTATTAGGGCCTTTAAAATGAGATGAGCTATTTACTTGAGGTGGTATGAATATGGTAGTGATAAGGCATTCTCCCTCATCAGGGTAATAAACCAATTGGGCAACCTTGTGGTTAGTGGTCATTGGGCAGTTTGCGGAAAATACGGTGTACGGTAAGAATGGCCACGGTAAAAATGGCCCAGGAAAAAATGGCCCCGGAAAAAATGGCGTTTGCGCCAGTAGGGACTGTGTCCGCAAACACATAGGCGTTTGCGCCGGTAGGGGCTATGTCCGCAAATTAATAGGCATTCGCGCAGGTAGGGACTTAAACATAACAATAACAACAATACAGTAATAATAAATTAATAATGTGTCTAATGTTTGGTAAATAAAATATTTGTGTATAAATATACAAATTACAAAGAAATACAAATAACAAATATAATTCTGTATATTGGAAGAATTCAAAGACTAATAAGACTACAAATAAGAACTAGAAATTGCAAATTGCAAGTAAAGTGCTGCGAAGTAAAACTGCATAAAATGTTCTTCGAACAAAATTATTTATGCGAGTCAAGTGAAAATAATGAATAATAAAATTATAACAAATAATATGAGCACGACCCATTGTCTATATTAGAACAGGGTAGGTACCGTGTACAATAGTGTTTTGCTGCAGTGACATCTCTCTGCTGGCGACTCGCTGCTGCTGGCGATGACTCGCTGCTGGCGAATCGATCTGCGCATGTGTATAAAATGGTATTTATTTCCGAAAACACTATGCCAGTCTACAACAAGCGTCGCATAAATGTAATAATTAGCACGTTGAAATAGGCTAGTAAATAAGTTTAACTGGGTTCGTAAATAATATTGGCCTCAAAATATTGTGGCTGAGACATGAGCCGATTAAACGTAGAAAGAGGAAAAAAAAAACGCTGAATAGTACTCCAGCGTCGCGACATGCCGACGTTGGTACGAGTAGGTTAGTCTACAAACGTCGCCTACAGTAATTGATTTTACCCGGCAGAACGAAAGAAGGAAACTCTGCTTTTCAGTTGTCTTAGGCGATCGTTTTTTGACAAACAATGACCTTTCAGAGGTCAAATTGCTGTTAAGAATATTAATTGGCTGCTACACAGCAAAAATTGCTGTTAAGAATATGAATTGGCTGCTTCGCAGCAATAAGACTGGTGGATATCAAACAAACAAAACTACTTATTATAACATTAATAATACTATTTAGTGATAGGTATTGAAAAGTAAAATATAAACCTTAGGTCTGAAGACAATTACTCAGTCAGACTCACTATCCTTGAGTCATCTAAATATACCTACATGGCTAAACTTTCTTTGATATACTGTATATTTTTGTAGCGCGGCTTTTTTTTTTCTTTCAAGTGTTTTAAATAATAGCTCTGCATTTTTGCATATTTTTATATTTTATTAATTCTCCTATATAACTGGTATGCATTTGATGTTCACTGCTATAGTTACTCATATTGGATATTTTCATGACACTGCTACATACATTTCAAGTTCATTATTATTTGAGAGGTTATTTCTAATGTTAGGATTGGCCTATTCAGGCCACTACCTACAGCTTCTAATAGCAGTTATATAGCAATCACTGGGTTACTATTATCTGTTATTGTTGTTGTTTTTTGGGGCTGGGGTTGGAGCACATCAGCAGTTTACCATTGGTTAGGCCTTTGCTAATTCTCTTACTATTGTGGTGTCTGATAATAATTTGTATTATTAGTCCTGATTTTCATCTAATAAAGTGCAGACTAAAGGTGGCATCTTAGAATTGTTATTTTTATTTAATTGTTCACAATAAATTTTTATTCAATCAATTTCCTTTATCATATTTTGTTTTTACAATTTATGAAAACGTTATGTAAAAATCACTTAAATGAGACAATGTAATTTACCAAAAAAGAACACCATTTAATATGGTAAACCCAAAATGGTGTATTATAAAAGATGGTAAATTTTGAATAATATCAAGCCTCAATATAATATCTCAATAATTAACCATAATATATTTTTTAATTGACACATTAATGTCTTGAAGAAGAGCGATAGTAAGAGCAAAATATGTTGTTACATTAATAATGCTTTGGAAATTGTCAGTTTTCGTTGTTTTGCCTCGGGAGAGCCGAGCTGCTATATCATTGTAGCTAGAGCAATTTGTATATTTTAATACAGCTGATATATAGCAGATATAAATCATCTTCAAAATACCCAAATATCAACTATCAAATATAGCTGCTATATCAGTGTAGCATTAACTAAATTGCATATATTTTTATACAGTTGATATATAGCAAATATAAGGCATCTTAAAACTACCTAAAAACCAAATATCAAATATAGCTGCTATACCAGTGTAGCAACACAGTTACATCTTCATAACATTCAAATATCAACTATCCAATATAGCTGCTATATCAGTGTAGCAACAGAGATAGTATATTTTAATACGCATGATATATAGCAGATATAAATCATTTTCATAATACTCAAATATCAACTATCAAATATAGCTGATATATCAGTGTAGCAACAGACTAAATTGCATATATTTTTACACAGTTGATATAAATATAAAGCATCTTCACAATACCCAAATATCAACTATCCAAAATAGCTGCTATGTTAGTGTACCAAGATACTAAATTGTATATATTTTTTATACAGTTGATATATAGCAGATATAGAGCATCTTCATAAAAAAGAAATATCAATTATCAAATATAGCTGCTATATCAGTGTAGCTGGAGTAACTCAAGTATATTTTAATACTGATATATAGCAGATATAAATCATCTTCATAATACTCAAATATCAACTATCAAATATAGCTCCTATATCAGTTTAGCAACAGACTAAATTGCATATATTTTCATACAGTTGATATATAGCAGATATAGAGCATCTTCATAAAAAAGAAATATCAACTATCAAATATAGTTGCCGTATCAGTGTAGCTGGAGTAACTCAAGTATATTTTAATACAGCTGATATATAGCAGATATAAATCATCTTCATAATACTTAAAAATCAACTATCAAATATAGCTCCGAGTCCTATATCAGTTTAGCAACAGACTAAATTGCATATATTTTTATACAGTTGATATATAGCAGATATAGAGCATCTTCATAAAAAAGAATTATCAACTATCAAATATAGCTGCCATATCAGTGTAGCTGGAGTAACTCAAGTATATTTTAATACAGCTGATATATAGCAGATATAGAGCATCTTCATAATAGACAAAGACGAACTATCAAATAAAGCTGCTATATCAGCGCAGCCACAGAGTAATTCCTCCATAAATAAACTAACTTGCATATTTCTATACAGGTATAAAGCATAGAGTACTATAGTACAGAGAAAAAAAAAATATAAAAAGTGAAAACCATCAAATATAGCATCAATAGCATAAACATACAGTAGCTGGGTTTTTTTTGTAAAAATATCAGAAAATGGCTATGTCTTAACTCAAGAAATATAAGTGACAAACCCCAAAATGACCAATATTGCGGCGCAATGCACATTTCTGAAAATAGGGATACTGCAAAAACACACTATCACATATTCTTTTATTTTCAGCAATTAAACAATATACTTGAAAAGTCAAGTAGTAATGAACTTAAGCAGGGCTTTAGCACGACAAATCCAACTC